TTAGTTATTGTGGATCAAAAATTGGCATTGGACAAGCAATTTGCATTAGTCAGAAATACCTTTTGGGTTGAGGCTTTTGGCAAGTCATTTGTTGGGAAAGCAGTACTAAACAATGCCCTTCAACCTACCAGATGTGCTACTTTGGAAAAGGTTGGGTCCTTGCCAAAATGCAGTTTGTTGCCCACCACTTCATATCATTTTTATTTTGTACCTCTAGAAATGGCCTAAATAGCCCCTCCTTTTGTGTTATATAATTTGTATATATATAATTTCCTCTCGCCATTGGATTTACTTGTGTATCTCAAAATGCTGAATGATAACTGTAAACCCACACCTATACTGAGTTCCACAATTATAAGCACTCTCACCTCAGCACACTCAGAGGCTAATCCTTGTGCATATAAATAATAATTTCTTCTTGTCTGTACAGAAGAGTACAGAAAATATGCTGTTTAAAATGTTATTTTTATTTTATTAACAATGAAAGCAATAAATGCCTATAAACTGAAAGTGACCAATTTCTATTAAACTCTTCTTGACTGCACTTTCACTAGGATAAAATGTTTTCTAATTTCTCGGAGGGCCCTGGTTTGAGTAAGGGTGGGAACTGTGTTAAAGCAGTAATGAAGCCCATACATAGCTGATATTCAAGAAGGGGAAATGCCCTAAATTCAATTTCAGTAGCTCTATCTACAGCTATTTTCAGTCTGATGTTTATAAGAATGACAATTAACCTAGAGACGAGGACACACATGGAGGAATAATGATGTAGTAGATACCATTTCAACACACACAGGAGCCAGCTAGCTAGACCTAATCCTGCTTTACAGCAGCATGATTTACATAAGGAGCTAGCATGTGTTGCCTAATTTAGTTTTCAAACCTTTTGGCAATGTATATGCTTTTTCTTTTAGGCAGTGTGGGACAAGACTGGTCAGGGCTGCAAGAATATCAAAGGAATAGAAGAAGCGGGTGCACTGTATATCAGCTCAGTTTCTTGACATCTTTCAAAAACACTGATCATTTAGCACCAATTTGATCATAAAAAATAACCCTTCCTGAATAAAGGCAAAACTCCACAATTTGATACCAGCGGTGTCATATCTAGAACCTTTTCACCTAGCCAGTAGTGGGGGGAAAAATCACTGACAAGAAAGGTGCCAATTGAAGAGAACAGGCACACCAGATTTTTGAAAGGTTACAACCAATGTCCAGCATGCTGCTATCTTTAATGAAAAGAGTTCAGTGTCAGACCAGAACTACTGCCATAAGGAATATTTCTCCTCAGCGCGTCAGGCTGGCCAGATGTCACTTGGCAGGTGAATCTACAATAGAAGGATAAAAGGAGCAGTGTGTATATTGGTCCTTTTGCTTTTAAATGATGAGCAATGCATTTACTTTTAGCAAATGTAAAGTAAAAACACGCACGTCTTGTCTGTATTCATTAGATAAGAGAGGCTACCTGCTGAGTCATCTTTCCTCTTCCCTCTGCCCCCAATAACATATTTTGCAAGGAGTTTTACAGTGCACATAGTATACAAAGGCGTCATTTGAATAACTTGGAGGCTACTTTTACTGGGAAAACAATTTGTTTGCCTTTATCATGTTGCAATTCCTAACAACTAGTTTTATTTTCCTTTCCTCATTTGTTCCATTAGTGCTACGGGATGACTTTCGCCAAAACCCTACCGATGTTGTTGTGGCAGCTGGAGAACCTGCTATTCTGGAGTGCCAGCCTCCTCGAGGACATCCTGAGCCCACAATCTACTGGAAGAAAGATAAAATCCGCATTGATGACAGGGAAGAGAGAATCAGTGTAAGTCCTACCAAAATGCCATTGATAGATAATTATCCACAATGTTTTCTAAAAAGTATATTTCTCCATGGATTTGAATGAGCACTGAATAATTTACATAGCAGTGTCCACAAAGATATAAACCCCCGTCATTCAATTGGCTCCATGCAGGGAAATTCTTGTGCTTATATGGAACTTCACTGATGTTACTGGGACACTAGGCAATCATTGGGTGTCCATGCACAGTTCTTATTGTAGGACTGAGGATGTAAGTATTTGTATTGGGCCTGCGCCACACCCCCACTAGCCCCACAACTGAACACCTTGGAACTCTGAAACTGGAGCAGAATTTCCCAGATTGTCTCTACAATGGGCCAAACCAAACTCTCCAGTGCTAACCTTTGAAAGTTAAAAATTTGCACCTCAGGTCCATCTTTAGTCCACCTTTAATCATAGGGAGACCTGGTATCAAAGTCTATAGTTAAGATTGTCTCATATTTTCTACTAAAATGCACTGTTAACTTTGCTGAACTTTAATCAGGAAGCAAATTTTTTTTATGCTGACTATCTGCCTATAGGCTGAATATTTTGAAAAGTTTAAGCATAAATGGATCAGTTGTTTCTGAGAACAAGGTTAGGAAAACCCATCATTTTGTCCATGTTAAAAAGAATTGTTACAACTGTTTCTATTAATAACTCTTCTATGCTTTGGAGTTGGAGTTGCCCAGATGTCAGGGATTTATCTGTGCCTTCCCTCTGAAAAGCTATCCAAATTTGTCCAAGTTATAAGCTTCTGAAAAATACTAGTTTGCACATGCTCAGGAGAAAATTGTTAGAGTTTGGCAGCAAAATTCTCTGAACATTCCATCTTCCATTGGGCATGCTCCAGTGTGTTAGTGCCCAGAGGATGTGGAGAAGAACAAGGAAACAGCCTGACTTGAATGCAAATGAGTGAGAAGTGGACGAAAGCGGGGAGAGGAACGAATTGGTTGGGGGAGTGGGGAGGAGGCATTGATAGATACCAAGGACAGGAACCATAGGTTGTAAAAGAGCTGAGCTGGACAGAGATGAGAATAAATCAGGGTTGTGTAGTGAAGAAGGCTGTTATCTGTAAAACCCTTGCACAGGCAACCTTAATACTGGCCTTTCCTAACTTTTGAGTAGTTGGCTTTGCAACCTTAGTATTCCCTTAACGTAGTTATTTTATACATAATACATTTTGAACTTGTTCAGTGCTGGTATAATTTGATATAATGGTGGCCTTTGGAAACTCGATTGCCTTTGATGTGTAAAGATTTGCAGTTTAATGATCTCAATATATATATATACTATTCAAGGTGTTGTGGACCAGACTATCTCCACTAAGTTCTGCTCAAACTGGGGGAGGAGGAAAGAGTAACAGGGAGCTTACTGCACTTCCCTGTGTCTCAGGTTATAGTGGCTCCAGCCCTGACTTAAGTTGAATCAACCTATCGGCTGCTTTAACTTATAACAGCTACCTAGGGTCCCAAAGAATACATACATTTTCTGGAAATTTGCAGCGCTGAGCTGTGCCCTTTCTTCTAATCAACCTGATCTTTCTCTTCCTCAATATGCCCCTGTGCTGGGGTTGAGGTGAGGTTGATATAGAAGTCAAGGGAATTCTCAGTTGGGCAACTGCAGATTAATTCCATCCCATTTGCACCAGTCAGAAATAAGGAGAAAATCTGGCCTTGTAAGTACAGAGAGTACAAGGGAATACTACAGATTCTGAGATCAATTTACTATAGATAAAACTGGCTTTTTTTTTAAGTGCCACTATGGTACTGTAGGCTTACAAATTAATATACTAGAAATAGTGTACCAGATGCAGCATATATCACCAAAGAAAGGTAGCAAGAAATGTAATTGTTTTGAAATTTAAGGGCATCATACAAAAAATTGAGACAAGACCAGAAGTAGGGTCAAATATACTTCAGAAGAGCCTAATATCAAATTAGTATTGGTATTGTTCAATACCAAATAGATGGCCTGATAACCCTTAAAGAAAAGCTTTGACATTTGTTGTTTAAAAAAACAAAAGACCCCCTCCCCATATTTGAGATCTTTGCAATCTAAGAGCCTCCCTTTATTTCTGATTGTTTATGTAAATTAAAATGTCTTCTCTTTGCTTCAAACAGATACGAGGTGGGAAACTAATGATCTCAAACACGAGGAAAAGTGATGCTGGCATGTACACTTGTGTCGGTACCAACATGGTGGGCGAACGAGACAGCGATCCAGCAGAGCTGACTGTCTTTGGTAAAACTACTTCCTCAACTTTTGTTTTATTTTTACTATACATGCAAAATATTGAGTTGATCTAGCTGAACAGCCAAACCAGGTGACAAAGGCAGGGTAACAAAAGACAGAGTAACTGCTAATGTACAGGCTACATTTCACAATTTTCCATGAAGGACAAGTTTCAAGGGTTGCAGGTTATAAATTGGGAGCTGGGATGAAGCAGTCATTTTTTTGTGAGTGCGTAGTTTAAATCTAATTGGAGGTCCTTGATGAAATGCATAAACTCAGAAACCTTAATCCAGTAGATAATGCTTTCCCCCACAACATTGCCGAGTATAATTGAGCCACTTTTAATACAGTGTCTGCTTAACAGAGACTTGGACCAACATAGCCTGTTTAAATAATTTCTTATTCCCAGAGGACTCTGAGATCAAAGCTGTTGTAGCACAGCACACAGAAGCTGGATAAACTGCACAACATCTTAGATAAAAATATCTATATAGTTAAGAAACTGATCTCATGAGTTTATCACATTTTACTTTAAAGCAAAAAGTATTGGACTGAGTATTCATCTCTGTTTTGACTCCAGTTTTCACAAACCACTCTTACAGCTCTCCATTGACCCTTACTGCATACCAAGCGAGGCTATACAAACTCTGCAGTACTTGAGTCAGCTTGCTTCTAGCATTGTACCACTTGAGTACTTTGCACAAAGCCTCTCAGTTAACATAGTCAAATGCTTTCTTAAAGGCAAGGAATGTGCAAAACAGAGGTTCGTTGAACTTGGTGTGTCTCGCCAAGATTTGACCAAAAACAACTGTCTGATCTATGGTGGAGTGCCCAGGTCTAGAGCCAGTGTGTGACTCAGAAAGGATTTCTTTTGCTCTTTTTTTCATTCAGCTGTGAATCACTCTACAGAATACCGTGCTAGGAATAATCATAAGACTTAATTCCTTGGTAGTTATTGCAGTTATTTCAGGGGCTTCACCCTTTGCCCAAATTAGGTTAAATAGTTTGTAAAGGAGCATGACTGTGTCTCTTCCACCATGCTTTAACACTTCAGGTAGTACGTGGTGTGGACCAGGGGCCTTGTTGTTTTTCAGGATCATCATTGCAGCTTTAATTTCTGCTTCCATTATGTGTTCTTCATTGTTGCCTTTGTAGCTGATGGCCTCAAGGACATCTGGGTCAACTTGACTATTCATGTGGAGTAGCTGATGAAAATGTTCTTTCCATCTTTTGAGTTGATCTTTCATCGCGTAGCTGACTTGTTACAGGTGTTAAGTTCTGTAATAGTTTTTTTCAAGCTCTTTGTCTTCTCTCTCTCTCAAGCCATTGTTGTTTTTCAAGCTCTTTGTCTTCTCTCTCAAGCCATTCTTTCTTAGCTTTTTTGACTCTTCATTTTAGTTCCTTCTTGATCTATTTGTTTTTCTGCTCAGCACAGTCTTCAGCTTTCAGATGTTCTTGATATGTTTTTCTTTTTTTGATGTGATTTTGATCTCTGGTGTCACCTACTTTTTCCTTTTTGGATACAGCCTCATCTTTAAAACCTCCTCACTTGTGGCATGAAATATGTTTTTTGCTCTGCCCAGACTTGTTCTATTGTTTTGTCATCTAGGTCTAAATGAAGGGCAAAGTGGCCACCGATGGTATTCTGAAAGGGTACCTTAGTGTCTGTATTTTTTCAAAACTTTGATATTATAAACTGTCTTGACTATTTTTGCAAATTTTGAAATATGAAGTCTGATCCTGATGGTAGTGATCACTGCTTGATCGTCTGAGTTTGCATTCAGACTTCTGTAGTCTACTACACTTGTTTTCCAGCATTGTATTACTAGGATGAAGTTGATCATGTTTTCTGTAATACCATCATTAGAAATCCAAGTTTCTCTATGGAATTGCCTGTGCTGAAATGCTGAGTTTGTTATAAACAAACTGTTAAATTGCTTCAGTTGTGCACTATTATCACCTCTCATTTCTTGATCCTATTTCTTCTTTCCCCTGGTGTTCTCTCAGGCCATGTTATCACTCCCTGTCTTGACAGTAAATCCCTTCATTACAAGCAGAAGATTTCTAGATGGGGTTCATGAAAACTCTGTTTGAAGATAATTGTAAAATTGGTTTGTGGCCCTGTTTGTCTTATCTAATATAGTATACAATGTTATCAGTCTTTGCACATACACACAGATCAAGATTTGTTTCTCCATTTCAAACAAATTGTGAGCATGACATGGTTCCTTTTAGTGAAGTTCCATGACCACCTGTGGATTTGCCATGATGCAGTATTACACGACTGTAAACTACCACTCTGCTTACTGCATTGACGAAGCATGAAAGCACATGACTTTTTTAAATGGTACTTTTGCACCTTGCAAGTCATACCAGTATTGGATTATAGTTTCCATTACAACCAATACATCAACATTATTTTATATTATTTTATAATATTAGAGATTGAGAGAGACACATACAGAGAGACAGTACCTCTCTTCTTCATCATTTTGAGTACTAGTAATTTATGGTAATAATCCCTGTAGATACTAAACAGATTGAAGTCCAAGTCTACAAAACCCTAAGGTTCCCATAACTCGTTAAAGGAATTAAATACTAGGGATAAAATCATGTGAAAAATACATTTAAATTCCTATACTGCAAAGGCATGACAAGTATTAGGTTTGCCTTAATATGCAAACTTTTATGTAGTCAATTACAATATTCTGAACATTTGCTACAGGATATAATCATAGCAGTCAACCAGTAAAGTACATTCTATGCCTGTCTTCCTAGTACTGTATAAAGGGAATGGTAAATGAAATTAGCAGTTTTTATCCCACATAATTGAGTTAGTCTCTATAAGGAAATCTGTACTTAGAATTTCCTTGCTGTCCAAATTTTTCCAGCTCTTCAGGATTTTTTTTTTTTTTCTGCTGCAGCAGGAGAACCACACAGGCCAATATGTTCAAAGTTGGATGCTGAAAGTTAGGCACCAAATTGAATGTTTAGATGCCTAAATATGGATTGCCTGATAGGTTTAAAAATGTTGGCCTTGATACTTAAAATAAATCTAGTACAGGAAATGAATCTGCCTTTACTGGGAAATTAAAAGGATTTATTAATGTTACTGGCAAATATACAGAAAGTACTGATTATTGTAGGGAAAAGTTCATTAATCATTAACCACTCTTCTCCCCTTTTAAAAAAGCCTCAATCCAAAACAAAAACAAAAACAAACCCTATGGCAAGCTTTAGTGTACATTGCTACCCTACTAGGAAATGGGATAGTTCCATACTACATTTCCGGAAATCAGTTGTAGCTTGTTTTTGGCTCTGAACGTTTTTCTATAATACCTTTTGCGTGTCACTCCTGATAGTTTTTGGTTTTCCTGTGCAGTGAATTTAGCTTGAGGCAATGCTTCTGGAAAAACTGAGTCCGCATGGTGGTGACCGGTGGCTTGATCGGAACAGCAAGGATGTCTGGGATTTTAAAAACAAAAGCCCGTAAACCCAACACCTTAAATAAAGCAATACATGAAAACACAATAAAAGGGCTAGTAAAGGAATGAGAGGAGAAGAGAAAAGAAGGGAAGAAGGGGATGTGGATAGGTTGCAATATTCAGAACCCTCCCACTGAGATGCACAAGTATTACTAAATAATATTCAGAAATATCCCCATTAGAACTGTTCTCAAAACAAGCAAGTTACACTTTGCCCTCTATTTATAAAACTCATATTTTTGTGTGCATTTATGAAATCGATCCACAATAGCATTTTCAATTTTTGTTGTAAAAAAGGGGATTTTGTCCCTCCTAGTCAAATCCTGAATCCTCTGCAAGCAGAAATTGTCCAACTTTTCACAGTAACATTTGATAAATGTAACTGGTTTTGTAAGCAGCACATCCCAAAATTAGTCCTGTTCTTTGAGTTGCGACACCAGAGCAGCATTAGGCTTTGCCAGTCCTCTTTTTCAGGGGTCACTGCTTGCTTGGGTCTTCTGAGGCTCCCAGGTGTCATCTCATAGCAGAGCAGCAAGAGAGCAAGAACACTGTCACAGAATCTAGGATCAGTGGATGACCGATTAAACAAATTTCAATCACAAAAGGCAACATGCTACTTTTTTTTATTATGGATTCATTTCCCCCCCCCTAAATTCTAAAGACCAAATTCAGAAGTGCAAGAGGTATAAATTAGTCTAATTTAAATTGTGCCCAGGTCTGAACAGGCCAGCACAAAAGTGGCTTAAAAGGCACCTTTGCCCCCTCACTCCATTCCTGTGCTGAGCTGAGCAAGATGGAGAATGTAGCCAGTTGTGCTCTGTTAGCAGTTAGGCTCCCATAGAGCCACTTATACCCACTCATCAGTGTGCAAGGGTGTCTGAAGAACCAGAAGGTGTAAGTTAAGTACCATACAAACTACTATTCTCACTGTCTTCTGTCAATTGCTTCTCTTCCTACACTCCTCTCATCAAAGATCTCAGCATGAGTTGCTCCTTGTCACTGTTTTGGACTCAGAAGTTCCGATTCATTGATGATGCATAAGGATGCATATGCTATATGTTGTGTGACTAATTTGTCATCAAATCTAAGGGCCTCATCCAAAGCTCACTCATTGGCAGTCTTTCCATTGACTTCAGGAGGCTTTTTGATCAGGCGCTGGGAAAGTCAAAGTAATTAAAGGCTTTGAGAGGGAATTTAAGTTGGTGAAACACAACTAGAGAGGGTGCCAGAAGGAGGTGTAAGTGACACTGGTTAGACTCCTCTAAGACGGACCCATCTCTGAATTCAGCCTTTTATTTTAAGCTATATGAACTTTGTTATTCAGTCAGCATTAGATAAGGAAGTGTCTGTTAGAAAGACACTGCCTGGCAACACCCTTAGGGACAGAATTTGAGTTGTCCATTAAGGGTTACACTGTATTTGGAAAAGAAATACCTCTGGAAGAGGGCACTTTACTGAAGATGTTAGATCCCAATTTTTGCCTTCTTATAGCCCTGGAGCCAGCACTACGTTCTGTGGCTACAA